CAGAACTTATTTGTTAGGAGTGAACACGTATATAGTAAAGCATGAAGGTCTGGCTGAAGAGCAGCCCAATCCCAGCTGCCAGTGATCTCCTGTCAGCCTATCAGCTGACTTCCATGAGGTTTACAATCTGTGTTTTTCCCCTGTCTTGAGGGAATTGCCTCATCAATAATGAATGCATGCCTTATCACTGAGAAAGTGTCTTTCTGCACTCTGATACCTCATAGAGGGAAATAAAACCAGCAACATCTATAGGTCTCCCACTTACAGGAAACATCGACAGCACATTAGAGGGAGAGAGCGATCGATAAGCTTGTCCTCTTATTGCTGAAACACACTGACAGAACCATAAAACACAGCCAAATCCAGATAAAGCATGCACTTGCCTTCTCATGAGAATCTGTACAAATACTTAAACAACACGATCACAGAATCTCATATTTACTGCACTTTAGTCTACTTCTGGTAAAACAATGCTGCTGTTGCAACTGGGTCTGCTGTACAGTAAACAAGTTATTCAAGCACAGGTGGTGAATACTTTCTCCACAGGTGTAGAAAGTGAATGCACAGACGACATGCATGTGACAGAAACACAGCTGAAATTATCTTATTATTGAAGCCAAATTCAGTCTCCACAGTCACCAGGTGAAAAGTTAAAAACGTCCTGTTGATACTACTGTATACCTCAGGTATTTTATGGTTCATGAATTGCTTTAAATGCTAGCAGCCATGTCCCTTTAAAAGCATCAAACAGAAATACTCAGAAACACTGCTGTTTTGTTTGGCCAGGCTTGGACACTGCCAGGAGATACGTTAAGTACACAAGAGCAGCTCTGTGCAAGCTAGTAACCAGAGCTGAGTCGCTGGCTAGCTGAAACCAAACCCCAGAGCCTCACAGCACGTGGACAGCAGGAGCCATGAGGTGCCCTGTGCAAAACCTCAGGTGCTGTGGCTAGCAGTGCCCACGCCACTGCGTCCGAGTAGAAAACCTCTATCTCTCCACCTGCACACAGCCGCTAAGAAAGAGGCCAAGCAGTCTGTGGCTAGCGCACTGGAAGGCCCCTGCCTCAGAGGGCACAAGCAGTAACAGGAAATTAATGCCTACTAGAGAAGTCTGCCAAATAACCGCTGGCCATGTGTAATTTGTTGGTGTGGACAATATGGATTTGACACCGTCTCCTACACAAGGAAAAGATGCAGGATGCACCCTAAGAGGCTGAAACAAAATCAGGGACATATCCTTGAATTAACAACTCACTAGGCTAAAAGAAACGTATTATATACTCACTGCCTAAGGCTCTACAGGAAAAAAATCGTTTTTCATAACTAAAGAAATTTGAGGTGCACAGAGAAAGGAGAAAACAATGAACTTCAGAGAAAGCGCCTCATTCAGGCACGCTCAAACTTGCTCATTTTAGGACATTTCTGCTTCCACCAGACACAAATAACTCCCCACGAGGCCGATCTGCAGAGCGACGCTGTGAACGCACGAGACAATGGCACACACCTGCTAATCCTGGAATTTACACTCAGGATGCAGCCAGCCTCCTCTTGGCTGAGTGCTTAATTAAAAGGGCCCCGAGATTCCGAGCGGCTCTGCTAGTTCCTGGGCAGGCTGCAGGGGGATCCTCGCAGCGCCCCGGGACCGTTTGAAGACCGTGGGTGGCAGAGCTGCCAGATTCAGGAAGGGCTGGTCCCGCAGACGAAAGCGCGGTGCGTCAGTCAGACTGCTCCCGACTCTCAAACAAATATTTGCAGCTCGGCCAGCGCCAAGGGGATCTTTGTTCTCTAGGAATTCCACCCAGGCACCTTCGGCCATTCTCTCGGAAACAAGAGCGTAGAAACATTCGTCAGTTTTGACGCTTCCTTTCCTCCTTGATAGGATGGGAATTCGGCCTGGGCTTGGGCAGAGCTGGAGAGCAGCTGTTCATGTAACGTAAGAAGCTTGGCCGGCTTCTTACGTTCTTGTCCAAACATTCGGTCCGGTGGCACACGTGGTCAGCCCCAGCAGCCCTCTGCCGCGCAGCTTTCCGATCTGCCCTGCGGGGCCGGGGGTTACCGGCTGCCAAGCCCCCCTCTGCTGCTCAGGCCGAAACCCCTTCGGCCCAGCACGCCCACGCCACGCCAGCTGTGAACCCCGGGGGTGGCCTGCCCGAGCCCGGGTGAGACACCACAGCAGCCCCCTCCTCCCCGTTCCTGCCCACCTGACCGCCCATCTGGAGCTCAGCCCCGCGCACGGCACCGACAGCACCCGGTCCGAACACGAAACCCGCAGCAGGCCCTGACCCTCCCTCGGCTCCGCCGCCTCATCTACCGCGCACACAGCTTCTACGTTAAACAAGAAGCCGAGCGGGGGGGGCATGGTGAACGGGGAGGTTCCACAGTTTCTTAGCTCCCACCCCGAACACGCAGGGGTCCCCAGTCAGGAAACTGGACCCAAGAGCAACAGAAACTGGGCTCGGCTCCAGCGTTGCACAGCCGGGCCGTTCCGCTCGGAGAGAAGCCGGAGCTGACCTCATCCCTGATAAGACCATTCACAGCGGAGAGGAGGCCCCCTGGGATGAGCAGGGCCTCAGACGACTGCTTTTAAAGACGTTCAATGAAATGAAGTTTATTACTAACTTTATTAGAAGTTTTTTAGAACAGTTCTCCCTGCTGCGAGGGCCACAGAATCAAACATGACAAAACTGCACCTTATTACTATCAGGCAGCTTCACAAGCACAGCCGTTCATATCCACGTCAGCCTACTGCAACATGGAAAGGCTGAAGCCAGAATATAACAGGTATTAATGGAAATCAAATGTTTACAACATCACTTGGTCACTCCTGGTCATGGTAGTCAATGTGTCCCTGCCTCACTGCAACATAAACTGATATCACACTGCCACACTCTCACTCATAGCTCATTTTACACCTCTCTAGACAACACTGACGAACATCACATGCTCAGGAACCACTCCCTTCATACAGTTACAAAGCTTCAGAGACACCCTTATCATCTGAAAAGTAGTTAATTATTTTCTCAGAACCTCCCAAGCCACTGAAAATGACTTTACAGCTGGGGCAGAGCTGTTGGGTTCTGGTTTCAATCCTCGGGTTTAATTCGACTGGCAGCCTGTATGTATTTTACTGTGCTCAGTTTCCCAAAAGGCAGCGCATGTGATCACATTTACATGCTAGCACTTTTAACAGCAGAAAACCTGCATTTTGACTGAGTAAGACAGGAATAAGATGGGAATAGCACCTTAACACACGCAGAACATGTTAGAATATTAAAAATAAAGTAAATGGCTCCAGCCACAAATACTTCCTTGCGTTATTAAACTACTGATAAATTGTTTTGTCATTATATATTACAACACTTGAAAAAGTGAATCAAGCGATTCCACTCTGGGTAGAAATCAAAATAAGTCGTTGTGCCCCTCTGTTTCAAAAGGGCCTTTACTTAATTTATCTTTTTCTGCCCCCTTTCCTCTTCCCACATTCAAAACCTTTATTATTGTCCTAACATTTTATCTCCTATCATCCCCATGTTGTTTTCTTGCGATAAAGCACTTCAATAAGCTACAGTAAGCTTATTATTATTATTATTATTATTATTACTACAACTGATATTCGGAGTGTGAATCCTGTTTGGGGATGTCATTTATGTATTTAACAAAACGTGTGAATGAAAATAAATCTTTCTTGAATAAAAATCAGATCACTCCTGAAGCTTCAGTGTCTTTGCTTGTAAACAAGAATGAACAGAATATCCCTTCCAACAGAGTAGCACACTAAGTGAAAGGGGCACAAGACAACCAC